AATTTTGAATCGATTCGACTCAACTTTTGGCATTGCGTATTATTATGGCTAAATCTATGCCCATATTGAATTTCATGCAATTCAGTTCATAACTAACGGAAATGTAAAAGCGATCGAACATTTCTAAATCTCACACGGACAGATAGATGGACAGACAGACAAAGGAACAGACGGAGAGACCAACCGGCAGGCGACAGATAGCAATGCAAAATTATAAACGATCTCTAGGATCGTTAATAAACGGCAAAGTGTAAAATTATGGAACATGTAAAAAACGGTTTTTTGTTTTTTTTACAATAACTTTTTTTGTAATACAGAAAAAATTCCTTCCTTGGTACAAACTCGACACCATAACGAACCAAATGAAAAAAGTAGACAATAGCTCTTAAGTAAAACTAGTAGCGTCGAAAGTTAGCGGACGGACGGACGGACGGACGGACAAAGTGGCCACAATAGCGCATTTTTTTTTTATTTTTGTGGAAATGCGCTAAAAAGGAAATAGGTAATAATGAAAGAGAGAATGTGGGAAATTGGAAAATAAAAGGAAGGGAAGCGCAATGGGATAAGGAAAAAGAGAAACTGATAGAAAAGAGAGAGAGAAGATAAAGAACAATATAACGTTTAAACGAGTAAAGCTGCAAAAAGGAAAAGAGAGTAAAAGCATGAAGGAAAGGCTACAACAAAGTGTACAAGTAGAGGGGAACGAGAACAATTGAAGTAGGGGAAAATAAAGTAATAATCGCGGAACTGGCATGGAAAAGAAGAGGGATATTATGAGAGGTAAGGGAAAGAAATTGGATATACATAGGTGATGACTTGACGTATGAGAAAAAAGGGTACACAGAGAAATTAGAGAGGTGCCAGTAGATATACAAGGCCGAACCTGTTTCAGTCTTTGGCCATCTTGCGGTGACCTTGAAAAGTAGGTTAAGAATTAAGTTCATCATCATTTGGAAAGCAGATCCTAGTGAAGCTGACAAATTGATTGTCTCCAATGGTCATTTTTGTGTCATATTTTATCTTCAAAGTCATCAGAGATTAATAGTCCCATTTTTGTAGGTCAATGTGTGGTTTAAAGGTCACTCGCCTTCTGGAGATCACCTTGCAAAGTGGGTCAATGTGAAACTCAAAGGTCAACTTGGTCGTTTACTCCACCCCTTTCTCGAAGGCCTCGGAAAATAAGTCAAAGCCTTGTTCGATAGGTAGTTGACCTCTAAACCTCTCCCTCTTTTCAAATGTCAGGCGAAAAATCGAGGCCTCGTTCTGTCGTTCACCCTAGAATATTTGCGATTCAAGTAATGACTTCGAAAAGTTACGTAGATTGCACTTTACTCTTCTAACCTTGGTCTCCTTTTATTGATGCATGTATATATTTTGCACTTTACCGTTTGTATAACCTTCTCTACTTATACATTTACATGAAATATCTTTCGGGTAATCAATTGCAAATTTTGGTAATTTTCGGAAGAGGTAAAACTGAAAGGGCGTTTGACTGTGTTACATTTTACTCCCAAGGACAAGAGTATTCTACGATAACTAAATGGTACCATTTACCTTGAAAATGAAATGGCAGCACAAATAGTGAGGTCGCTGACCTTTGTCAACCTTTAAAATGCCGTTGTTCTTCGTTTTCCCATGGTTTTCTATGTTAGATTTTAAATGCATGATATGTAGTAAATGCCTATCGCAAACTTTGGACTTTGAACGGCGACCAATCTTTAGACTTTGAACGGTGAGCAAACTTTGGACATTGAATGGTGACCAACTTTTGGACCTCTCGTTAACATTTGAGACTACTATTTAGTTTTCGTTTTAGTCCTCGTCAGGAGGGGGACGACGGTATCCGAATTTCACCTTGGTCGAGGGATATCCCTATTATCCCTAAATAGCTATCACTTGCTTTGGTTGCGAGTGCTCAGCGTACGCTACCCATGACATAATTTAATTCGATATGCATGAATGCGGCTTTTAATCAATAGCTTAAACTGCGTTTCAAAACCGCATAAGCAACTTCACCTTGACTAAACCCGCAAGGTCACTATCAGGAGCTAGTGACCTATGAGCTTCATCTTCACCAACATCCTAATGTCATCACCAGGAGACGAGCGACCGTTAACCTTTACCTTGACCTAGCAGGACAGAGGCGAGCAACCTTTAATCAAAAATCCAAAATCCCTCGTCAGCGGGAGATGTAAGACCGACATTTTAACTTAATTTCCAAGGTTACCACCCGAAAATTGCCAAAATTTGAAATCTGATACTCGAAGATTGCCTCGTTGAAAATGAAATATGATCCTACCTCAAAAACTTGACCTGATCATTAACCTTGGTTTACTTTGAAAGTCAACTATGATACTAAAAAAATATTGAGGTCATTGATCCTTATTAACCTTGCAAGTGAAGTACAAAGTGTAAAGTACAAAATATGCACATGTCTACATTTCAAGGTCAAGGAATCTTAGATTCACCTTGCCATATTTTCCAAGGTCACCGACACGTGGCAGTTGATCGTTGAACTTCACTTTAACTTACTTCCTAAGGTCACCGCAAGGTCTCAAGCGGCCTTGAGCTTAACCAGGTTCGGCCTTGTATACCTACTAGTGGCGGAGAGGGATGGGCAAGAAAGTAAGAAATTAATAAGGGATGAGGAAGAATACAGACGGTGTAACAAAGAAAAGGAACTAGTGAAATCAGAGAGGAAAGTAATGTGTGTGGGGGGGGGGGGGTTAAAGATTATCAAAGGTCAGGACAAACTTTTTGTGTTGTCATATTTTATTTTCAAGGCCATCCGAGATCGATGGTCAATTGTGTTACTCGTATCTCGCATCATTTGCCCGACGTCTATGCTCGGAAGAGGTCGCTGATTCATCAAGAACCAATGTTGAGGATCTGGGATTCTGGCTGCGCCTCTCTTATCATTGTACTCTGTAGAAATGATGGCTGGAAATGGAGCAGCAGTGGTCCTGGCAAGATTTATTTGAAATAGAGAGGTTTAGTCATTGGACTACTATAAGTACGTGGATGTTCTGGAATGTAGCGGGAGCTGCAAGTAAATACGTTCGATTCTGATAGTTTGGAAGATGATTTGATGTTGTGGAGAAAATAAAGAAGAGGGTACCGAGTGAATACATATGAAGGAACCAATTTGCGAGGAGGATGGATATACTAACAGGGGTAAAAGAGAGATAAGGGTATGGGCGAAGAAATGAAAGAGGAGAAAGGTATTTAGGAAAGACAAGTAGAAGTGGGAGGAAAGAAAATTGAGAGTGATAATTATATACAACATAGAAAAAATGAAACAGTTAGAAAAGAAAATAGAAAATAGTGTAGATGAACAGGCAACAGGAACAGAACAAGGAATAAAGGACATGGGCAAAGATGGGTTTAGGAACATTGAAAGTTAAGAGATAAAGAATACAACAAAGAGAGAGAAATGTTACTGGAATTATCAGAAAAGAGAGGTGGAGTATTTTAAACGGAAATTTGGAGGGAGAGAGGGACGGAAAATTCCCATACATGGGAGAAAAAGAGAAGACAGTATTTGATTACATACTAGTAGACTGCCGAACTAGATCATAAGCAGATATGTGGAATATTTACAAAATATGAACAATAAACCATTTCCCTAAAAACAAGGATAGAACCAACCGATAGAAATGACTCTAAAAGGGAAGATAAAAAATCAAGAAATGGAAAGATGCAAGGAGGAAGGGAGATATAGAGTCACTGTGGAGACTAAAGGAACAAGTGGAAGAAATAGGAGAGAGTACAGAGAGGAATGGGAAAAGTTGAAGGGATGATAAAATATTTAATATAACGTAGTAACAGGTAAATGAAGGGGAAGGAAGAGATAATAGAAAGGAGTGATGGGACAGAGAGTGTACAGAAGAGAGAAACAGGTACATAACAATGATGGAAAAGAAAGAAAAGGACAACATAAAAAAGTACAAATGAAAAAGCAAGGAAAGGAAGGTGAAGAAACATGTAGAAAGAATGTAGAAGAAAGAACATGTAGATTAAATTTAATTTTCAAGTTAATGCTCTATACGACAGAGCTTTTGATCTATACTATGTACATCCTTTCAAAGTGAATTTATAAGCAAATAGATAATGAAAAAGTTGACGCTACAGGTATCGAAAAATTACTCCTAAATCTTTTACTGCAAAAACAAACAATAAAATGGCGTGTCGTTATTAGTTGGTATTGCGTAATCATACTTCTATATTATATAATTCGTTATGCCAACTCAGTTCCAAATATTGTGCAAATTTAATCAAAACTATCAAAACCACTAACATAGGTCTAGCATTTTAACGATGTACTTAAGCCACAAGCTTACTCTCCATTCATGCAAAGTGAGGAACGCAAATGAAAATAAGTTCGCAGTGCATAAGCTGGAAGGATCCGAGCAAAGAAAATTATCCTCGAAGACATTAACAAAGAGAAACTTGACTAAAATCGGATTTAAGAAAATTTTAAACCATTCACCTCTAACTCATTCCGCCACATTCTAGCTCCCGTATAAAGGGGATTTGACCGAAAATATTTACTGTGGAGGAGAGTTCGATCGTGAAGCACACAGAGAGTGGAAGGAACGTTAATCCCCGTGCGAGATACTCGGGTCAGACGGATACACATTGTAAATTCCCTCAACTTCGAAGTTGTAGCTAAATCTCATAAGCCTACCAGCGCAACTACTGTTTGTAGTTGTACTGATATTTTAGAACAAGGTGTCTACACCGAGGCTTTAATCTAATAAATTTCATACTGGAGCATTCCCTGGCATATCGATCGCGAAATCGCGTCCCTTTCCAATTCTGTTGCCAAAACTCTTAATTGCAAATTCTTTTACGCGAATAATAACGTCATCGATAGTCCCCGTGGAGAATTAAACGAATTTGCATTGACGCCGACAGCAACTCCCCATTAAAATTATCATAGGCAATACATTTTAGCGAAGCCCGTCAACAACGTGACGAAAAATTAAAAGCACACTTACCAAATATGATTATCAGATGAAGTTTCGGCGCCTGAGATGAAAATCTGAAAAAAAATGGCGGTTTGTATAATTTTAAACTCCAATTTACATAATGTACAAAAAAAACCACATGTCGATTATTAAATTGTGTAACCAGACCTCAACAAAGGGCCATGATTTACAATCTGTGCAAAGCACAAAGCTCTTAAGCTCGCACAAGTGAATCTAATTTACTAAGGTCTTTACGTCAACGTATCGCGTGTGTACAATTTGTTTCGTTTTTCTTTTCGCTTTTCGAAATACGAATTTTAAAGTTTGCAATATTTTACGGGGTAGCCACTGGCCTGTGATCCGTGCGGATAAATGTGTAAACAAATATAGCAAACGAGCTCCTGAGTATTGCTATAGCATACGCCAACCAAATTTTAACACTGGCGGTCGATTTGGTTTTATTCCAAATGCCTATGTATCAAAATTTCATTTAAATGCTTTCATAAATAAGAAAGTTGGCACTGCGCATGCGCAAAACCACATTTTGAAACTAGCGTTACGTTTGATTTTATTCCAAGTGCCTAAGTAGGTATCAAATTTCATTTATATACCTTCATAAATAATAAAACCTTTCCAATTCGGTTCGTAAATGATCACGATGCGAAAAGGGCACTGCTAATGTTGAATCGATTAGACTCAACATTTGGAATTATATATTTCATGGCTAGAGCTATGACCATATTGAATTTCATGCAATTCGGTTCATAAATAACAGGGCCATCCTTATTTTTTGGTCTACATTGCCAATTCACGAACTCCGATCTACAAATTCGATAGAGAATCCGCCTACAAAATTTCATCGTAATCGGTCCTTCGTTATCGAGATATCCTGCTAACGGACGGACGGACAGACGGACAGACACCGCAAAATTATAAACTCGCTAGGAGCTCGCTAATAATCGAAAACAAGGGTTAAACCGCGGTATGTCACAGAAGCGGAGTCTACCCTTTCCCTAAAGAAAGTAAAAGGAATGGTTATTTGGTTCCATAAACCTACTTACCGGTAAATGAAAGGAGATGGGCAAAAAATTAATAAGGAAGACCGCAAACAGACAGAAAGGACTAAGGAGAAAATGATGAAGGAATATGGGAGGGAATAGAAAAGAAGAACTGGCGAAAGAAAGAAAGAGGAATGGTGAAGGTACATAACAATGTAACGATAAAGGGCGTGCGAAAGCACGAAGGAATGGCCAGAAAAAAGTAAAAGCTACAGAAAGGAAGTAAGGGGAGAAAGGGGAAAAAGGATGTCGGGTGCAATGGAAATATAAGTGAAAGATAAATGGAGTAACGGAAAAAAGATTCATGAGAACTGAGAATATGAGAACAGTATAGCAACGAAGAGGCGAGGTTTGGGGGGGAAAGGTATAGAAAAAGAAACGAGAGACGGAAGAGAGAAACTAGAAATCATTTTCGAACAATTTTAAGAAACTGAGGCATTTGGAGAACGATTTAGAGAGTAGGTTGTTTTCTCGACATTTATTATCACGGAAGTCCAGTTGGAAAGCGATTCCGAAGGTAAATCCGATACATTTTGACCTAGAGGAAGTAAGGATCCTGATGGGAGCTATAACAAGAGTTGTAATTGACTGTGCCAGTGGTCAGAGAAAGAGAAAAAATAAAGAAAAACATAACGATAATGGGAGTAGTAATGGAAAAAGCGAAAAAAGAGAGAGAGTTCATGGGGAGCGGAGTATACATAGATGACGAATTGGCATATGAAGAAAGGGCACAAAGAGAAATTAAAGAGGTTGTGGCAAGGGAAATAGGAAAAGGCAAGCATCTAAGAGAGGGATATGGGAAACGAATGGTAGATCATGAAGAATACAGATGGAATACCAAAGACAAAAGATTAGTGAGAAAAAAAAGGAAAATAACTGGAGAGGAAAGGGCGGGATTTGGAAGAAGAAAGAAAGTAAGCCGCTCAATTCTGGGTGTTTGTAAGAGGATCGTGGGGATGGTAGAATCATGGATAGAAGAAAAGAATTGGGAGAAAATAACGAACAGGATTCCAAATGAAAGAACCAATTTTCGAAGGGGAACATGAACATGAACGAGCAAAATAATGTGTATTAACGGGGGTAAAAAGGAATAATTGAATGGGGAGATGAAACGCGAAAGGAGGAAGGAATACAGATCAGAGGAGTGGAAGAAATAAAAAAATAAGGTAAATAAGGGCGAGGGGGGGGGGGGGGGGTTGATGGCAGAACAAGAATTCAAGGAAATTGGGTAGAGATCGGAAGAGGACCACAGGATAGAAAATGAAGAGTGCAACAAAGAGGAGAAGTGTTACTGGAATTAGGAGTGAATAGGTTGCTGAATTTGAAACGGAAATACCTATAGAGGGAGATAGGGAGGGGCAATTCACATACATACAGGAAGAAAAGAAAGAGGAGAAAAGAAGGAGGTTGGTAAGTATAATTACTTACTAGTAAGGAAAAAATAATGCAAGGCAAGAATTTAAAGTAGGATTGTAGGAAAAACGATACGATCGGATCACCACAAGATAGAATTGAGTCCAATGGGTAAGTTAAGAAGATCAAGAAATGAAAAAACACAAACACGAAGGGAAATCCAGTTATTGGACAAGAGACACGGTGGTGCTGTATAGAGAAGACAAGAGGAACCAGGAAAGTAGGAGAGAACACAGAAGAGGAATGGATATAAAAGCAATAGCATGGAAACAAATATGGGGGGGAGTAGTTGGACAAAGAGTGTACAGAAGGGAGAAATAGATATAAGAGAAATAGAACAAGTGGGAGGAAAATACAATTAGCGGAGTGGAAACATTTTGTTAAGTTACTACAAGGAAAGCAGAAGAAAGAGGAAGCTATGGAAAAGGTAGGAAAAAAGGAAATTGAAGAATACGCAATATCAAGAAAGTGGATATAGCAACAATTAAAAAGACCAAAGATCGGAAAAGCGGCAGTAAAGGGCTTGGACAGATAGGGTCCAGGAAAGGATAAGAAGTCGGGTAAACAAGGTATGGAACGGAGGCGGTTTATCCCAAGAATTGACGAAAGGCGTAATTGTGCCAATCTTCTACAGACAAAACTGATTGTGTGGGAAATTATAGGGGAATAATGACTCCGGCGTATAGAGTCTATGCAATGATATTGAAGGAAAGGTTGGAAAGAGAAATGGAAGAGAAGAGGATGTTGTAGGAAAAACAAATAGGATTCAGGAAAGGGAGGGAGAACGATCGATTGCATATTATGTGTATATTTATTACACAGATGGGCGGAAAAGGAATTGGGAAAAAAGGGCGCAAAAGTTTTTGCGGTTTTCATGGACTTAAAAGGGCCGTTTCACAGACTGAAAAGAGAATAAGTATGGAAAATGATGGAAGATGGGAAAATTGACAAGGAGTTAAAGGACAGAATCAAGTATAAAGGTGGGAGCATATAGTAATAAGAAGAAGAAAGATAATATGCTCCATGGAATACGTTGACGACGTAGTAATCATGGCAACAGAGGTAGAACAGATAATGGAAATGATAGAAATAATGGAAGGGTATTGGGAAAGGAATGTTTATATATGTCGAAGAAAATGAGATTTGGAAAGGGGGTGCAAGAAAATGAAAATGACGGGAGGAAAGAATAGAAATATTAAAATTTGTCAATAAACCTAAAAACTTCAAAAATATGAACAGTGGCGTACATCTGTATTTAATTAGGCTGCCAAAACAAATGATTTGTTACAATAAATTGTTTTATTAAATAATATATATGCCCCCGATGACTCTGCAGGCGTACGCCACTGACCACAATCTTAAAGTATCTACATTAGCAGCAAACTTTTTATAATTTTGGATGTCATAAAAAACTTCTTTAAAAAAATGTTCTTCTGGAGATAAATGGAGTGTTCAAGACAGGATTTATACCCTGTACAGATCTAATTAGAAACTGTCCCGATTTTTCAATCTAGAATCCATTGGTGAACAGAAATAAAGGGCTTTCCATAAAAAATTAAGTTTTCGCACAACTGCTAAAGTACTCTGCGGTTTATCGAGGTTCTGCGTAAATTTAAACAATCATTAGGGCACCCCGTTTAAAATAATGCAGTGTAACGTACAAAGTTGAGAGTTTTTAGCGCATTTTTTAAGAATAATGTCCTAGAATTTTTTGCAATAGGAAGCCTACACCTTGAAGGTGTGCCAGACGGCCATCAAATTTCGCTGTCTTAGGGGGGGGGTCATAAATTTTTCCTGAGATAGGGCACACGTTCTACACTTCATAGCATTCTAATAAAAGCTCTACCAACCATAGTCCTCCCCCTCGTCCCCTTATCGTGATAGGATTAAGATTGTCGAAGGAGAGTACTTCTCACTAAGTGTAATTGGGACGTCTAGAGGAAATATATCCATTACTCAGATATCAAAACTTGAGCGAATATCTCGAAAACGGAAAACGAGGTTAGTACCCTCACAGGCAAAATGAATCGACAGGGCGAAACATATCTATTGGTGAAGTCGAAGCAAATACTTTGACAACGAAGTGTCGGAAGAGGGTACTCATAAAAAGCAAGTGGAACGTCAGGACGAGACATCTATTGGTGATGTCAAAGCTTTCAGTGCAAATATCTGCACTGGAGTGGAGTGTCGGAGGATTTTGAATATATACCAGGCGGTCTTTAAAAGTTTATTTGTAAAGGGCTTCATCACCATTACTCGTCTACCAAGAAAGTAAACATTATAACCCAACCATTTACTAAGCTATTTCGGTTGAAAAAAAATACGCTTTATCTGCCCAAGAGTTGTGCACAATTTATACGCGCATACTGGATTGGGCACCCTCCATAGGTATGTAAAAAAATTGGGTGGTATACAACAAAACAAAACAAAAGTCATAAATAGGCGATACCCTAAACGGGGGGGACCGAAAAGATTGCAATCTAGACGATCTTCTATTTGCAGAAAAAAAGGTTTAGGGGCCATTTGCATTGAATAGAGCGCGGGGTACATTAATTTGGTTTGGTGAGCCATCTCTTACGTACAGCGAGAGTGCACAAACAAGA